AGCAATGTTGGGCAGAGCATGTCTCAGATGTGCAGACAGCAGCTGTCTTAGGGGGAATGCGGCCTGGCTGGTCTGTGCCAAAAAAAGAGGATTCCAAGAAGGATGGCGTGTCCCTAGCCTGTCCATTTTCATCTGGAACCTTGACCCTACACTGTCCACTCGCAAAATGCACATCTCCAAAGTCTCCAAATAGTTACCAGTTATTTGTTATGAAACTAGTTGGTTCCTTTTGCAATCGTAAGATAATGACATCAATTAACATCTGTGACTATGAATGTGCTTTCCATATCAAGCCTTGCCCGTTTATTTCACCTATAACAAACAAAAATGGTGTTGTGGCTCCTTGATCACAGCTTGCTGGATATTTTCCTCTCTTTGTTATAGGCTGCAGGTTCCATAAATCATCTTTATAAAAAATGCTATTATAATCCTCTTGTAAATACCTATTAGCCAGTGTAAAGTTTAGGCTCTTTTTAGTGCGACACTTGATAGTGGGCTTAAGAGGGTGGCCCTTTAACCCTTTTGCTGTTTTGCTGTTGGATTAATTTTTCCATTTTTTTTTCTACTCAAGTGGAAAAAAGCATTTTAGGCCTGAAGATTACAAAAAACCTCCAAACATTGTATATTTTCTGAAAGCAGACACCCAAGAAAATAACATGGTCAAAGTATCAATTTTTTATGTCACATATTATTAGTGCAACAGCTTAAGAAACACAAACATTTCAGTAATAAATAACCTAAAGTGAATTTTAGGACACATACAGTGCCTTGAAAAAGTATTTATACCCTTTGAAATTTTCCACATTGTGTAATGTTACAACCAAAAACGTAAATGTATTTTATTGGGATTTTATGTGATAGACCAACACAACGTGGCACATAATTGTGAAGTGGAAGGAAAATGATAAATGGTTTTCAACATTTTTTACAAATAAATATCTGAAAAGTGTGGGGTGCATTTGTATTCAGCCCCCTTTACTCCGACACCCCTAATTAAATCTAGTCGAACCAACTGCCTTCAAAAGTCACCTAATTAGTAAACAAGTCACCTAATTAGTCCAACCTGTGTGTAATTTAATCTCAGTATAAATACAGTTCCGTGAATTCCTCAGAGGTTAGAGAACATTAGTTTACAAGCAGCATCATGAAGGCCAAGAAACACACCAGACAGGTCAGGGATAAAGTTGTGGAGAAGTTTAAAGCAGGGTTGAGTTATAAAAAAATATCCCAAGCTTTGAACGTCTCATGAAGCACTGTTCAATCCATCATCCAAAAATGGAAAGAGTATGGCACAACTGCAAACCTACCAAGACATGGCCGTCCACCTAAACTGACAGGCCGAGCAAGGAGAACATTAATCAGAGAAGCAGCCAAGAAGTCCATGGTAACTCTGGAGGAGCTGCAGAGATCCACAGCTCAGGTAGGAGAATCTGTCCACAGGACAGCTATTAGTCGTGCACTCCACATATCTGGCCTTTATGGAAGAGTGGCAAGAGGAAAGTAATTTTTGAAAGAAAGCCATAATAAGTCCCATTTGTAGTTTGTGAAAAGCCATGTGAGGCACACAGCAAACATGTGGAAGAAGGCGCTCTGGTCAGATAAGACCAAAATTGAACTTATTGGCCTAAAAGCAAAATGCTTTGTGTAGCGGAAAACTAACACTGCACATCACCCTGAACACACCATCCCCCAGAGAAACATGGTGGTGGCAGCATCAAATTGTGGAGATGTTTTTCTTCAGTAGGGACAGGGAAGCTGGTCAGAGTTGATGGGAAGACAGTTGGAGCCAAATACAGGACAATCTTAGAAGAAAACCTGTTAGAGTCTGCAAAAGACTTGGGACTGGGGTGGAGGTTCACCTTACAGCAGAACAACGACCCTAAACATACAGCCAGAGCTACAATGGAATGGTTTAGATTAAAGCATATTCATGTGTTAGAATGGACCAGTCAAAGTCCAGACCTAAATCCAATTGAGAATCCATGGCAAGACTTGAAAATTGTTCTTAACAGATGCTCTCCATCCAATCTTACAGAGCTTGAGCTATTTTGCAAAGAAGAATGGGCAAAAATTGCACTCTCTATATGTGCAAAGCTGGTAGAGACATCCCCAAAAAGACTTGCAGCTGTAATTGCAGTCAAAGGCGGTTCTACAAAGCATTGACTCAGGGGGGCTGAATACAAATGTATGCCACACTTTTCAGATATTTATTTGTAACAAATGTTGAAAACCATTTATCATTTTCCTTCCACTTCACAATCATGTGCCACTTTGTTTTGGTCTATCACATATAAAATCCCAATAAAATACATTTTACGTGTTTGGTTGTAACATGACAAAATGTGGAAAATTTCAAGGGATATGAATATTTTTTCAAGGCACTGTAAATGCAATTTGTTACCCAATTCTTTAATAAAATATTAAAAATGAGGTTGCGCAGAGTAAATAGATACCCAACATGTCAACTCTTAAAATTGTCTGCAACCGTGAAATGGTACCCTATATTTTCCATTGTCGACCCTTAAATAGCCCATACAGGTCATTGGTTTACAATAAACCATGAATATTGGGCTTAGAATGAATGTTCTCACTCTGGCATTAGCAGCAATATGTAACATGTGTAGCGCAATCAGCGTTTCCATGCGCAAGCGAACCCGACATGTGCATTTACGTTCGTGTGTGTATGTGGAGGCGATGGAGCTTGAAATATTTGGGGGGAGAATTTTAAGTACTTGTGTGTAATTTTAATATCTTACACTTTTTCTTTTTACATTTTTTTTTCACTTAACTTTTTTCATCACACAGGGGACACCTCTGCATTACGACCCACTTAAGGGTCCCCTTATAGTACACTTAGCCTTAGTAAGCAATACACAAATCCTGTCTGTATTCTGTCCAGGTCTTTGCTGAACCGGTGAGGGAGGAGATCAGAGCCCACTGAGGGTAAGTGTATATAAGTTTATTTAATTATTTAAAAAATGTGTTTTTTTGGGGGATTGCCAGTGTATATAGATGTGACCATGATAACAAACTATAAGCCTCACACCACACATAACATAGCAAATAGCTTTGTCATCATTTGAGGTTGAGGCCTCTTATTGTAGGGGCTAATACGTATGTGGCTAAGAACATTAATCATTTAGGTCACATATATCAATTCAATAGTGGTGGTTAAGGGAGTAATTATTATTAATATTATACAGTATTTATATAGCGCCAACAGTTCGCTCAGCGCTGTACATTATGATGGGAGACAATACATGAGACAGTACAATAACAATACAGTGCAATACACGAGGGGTTTGAGGACCCTGCTCCTTGGAGCTTACAATCTAGAAGGGAAAGGAGAGTGGTACGGGAGGAAAAGTAGTGGGGGATGGAGTGGTAATTAGCTTTAAAACTGATTGCCTCCTTACTAAAGTAATTTCCATTCACTGTAGTTGGTGCCTATGTGTTTTCCATTCTGATACCGGCTATGGGCAACGTTCAGAAGCAGTCTAATGGAATGTGCCCTACAGAAATGCAAAGTTGGGCAGAATTATCACGCATTAATTTCGTAAATGTATTAGTGTTACAATTAATATTAAAGCTGAGCTAGAACAAACAAAAATACCATTTCCCACCCAGCCCTACCTACAGTCGCTACTCAGGCTTTAAAACCAATTTAACATTTCTTATTTATTACTGGAATGCAGTCAGGCTGCATATACAGTAATAAATCTGAAGAATTTTCCTTTTTTTTTTTTATTAATAAGCGCTGCAGCAACACTACTCTAATCAACAGCGCTCTCACTCTCTGAACAAGATACTCTTTTATGTTGCAGCATAGGAAATTTTGATTCTTGCCACCCCACTTACCAACCCCCCCCCCCCCAAACAAAACATTTTAGTACTTATCATAACATCTCTTTCTTGAAGTCCATTGATGGACACAGGAATTCAAGACTTCTGAAACAGTTGAAGTGGGTTCACTCGGGTTGGTTTCACCCCCCATGGGCAGGCTAGTTTCAGTCCGCCAGTGCACGGTCACAGTGCACATCCCAAACTTACTAAAACGCCATGGCACACCATTGCTTAAATGACACAAGGCTCAACCACCGGACACAGGAATTCAAGATTTCTGAAACAGTTGAAGTGGCGTCACTCGGGTTGGTTTCACCCCCCATGGGCAGGCTAGTTTCAGTCCGCCAGTGCACGGTCACAGTGCACATCCCAAACTTACTAAAACTCCATGGCACACCATTGCTTAAATGACACAAGGCTCAACCACCTGCTTTCTTTATATATATACACTATTATTAAAGCCACTGAATGCAACTGGCTCTGTAAGTGCATTTGATGGCACCTATGTGCCTACTAAAACTTTATGGCACACCATTGCCCAAATGACACAAGGCTCAAACACCAGCCTTCTTTAGATTGTGATATACTGATATTATAAGGCATTGAAAGCCAAGAATTATCATGAACCTACAATGGTCTTTCAATGCCTACTAACGCTCCATGGCACACCATTGCCCAAATGACAAAAGGCTCAACTACTTTCCTTCTTTACATAGCAATATACTGAGACTAAAGCCAATAACTACTATGGCACTGTAAGTGCATTTGATGCCACTCATGTGTCTACTTATGCATCATGGCATATCACTGCACATTGGCACAAGGATTAAGCCCTGTTTTGATTGCTATCTACTCCTACTTCAATGATGCCATTACTGGTTCCAATGGCACACTGAGCAATGTCAACAGTGGCACTTTTGATAGTCATCCTGAAGACCCCTGGTGGCCCCACTCACCTGTAAGCCTGAGAGCTGACTTTTTTTGGAATTCAGGCTCCTGAAGCCACTTCCACATCCTCCTTAAGGTCTCCCTGCCAGATTTCAGTTTGGGGTTCCTTAAAAGATCTGAGAGGGTACTCTGCAACTGTCATAGCACCCTCTGGGCAAAGATAGCCTGGGGGGATGCTGTACCTTTTGAGTTTAGCTTATATTCTCTTCACCACTTGATCTCATCCAACTGCCCAGAGTTGCTCAGCTGGGACCTGGAAGATGAGGGTGGCCTGTGACGGCTGGAGGTCAACATGAGCCCATGAGATTGAGCCCATCCCATTGAGATGAGACATCATGGCAGATGGTGGGGTAGCCAGCTCCCTGGGGAGGTGCTGATTGCCTCTTGCTATCCTGTTGTGCCCAAGTTGTCCATAGTTGTGCAGACTTTGTTGGCTGTTTTGGATGGAGCCCAAGCCATTGTCTAGAGGGTTAGCTGTCAAGGGGGACAAGCTCTGCCCCATTCCAGTCATGTGTTTGTAAGGTCTGTACAGGTTGTTCATGGAGGGGATCCCCCTGTCATCTCCCATCAGGGTAAAGCTATCACTGACATTGACAGAGAGCCACAGGGGGTGGTGGTGATGGCGGGGATGGTGGAACTTGTCTGACACGGTAGAGATAGGGGCAGTGGCTTTAGTGGCATTAGGGTGGTGTAGGTGCTGCTCATGCCCATTCCAGGTAGTGAGAAGTCACAGGGTATGCTCATGCCATGGTGCAAGGGGATAGACAGTAGTTCCCAGTCCCATCCAGCATGGAAGCCATGCTGGAGACCATAGCAGACCTGGACGATGGAGAGGACAGCACCTGGTGGATCCTCCAGTGGTAGAGAGGGCTGTGGCTGCTCATCAGATCCTGATCATGGCTGCTTCCACCCAGTGGCAGCACTAGTGATCACTAGTCACCATAGTGATGGGGACACTGGAGTAAAGCGGGCTAGCCGCAGGGGAGGTACGGGAGGTACTTCCAGGCTCCTCCTCTAGCATGACAGGTGATAAGGGATGATGCGGGTGCCAGTGTGTCCTAGCCTGGCATCACCCCTCTGGCGAGTGTCACCCAGGTGCGGTCCGAATAGTTGGATGATGTGCTACTGCCCACAGTAGATTTGGACACAGTGAAACAGAAAGAAATGTTGAAGACTACCCCTTGTTTAACCATGCCTCTAACCATGGTGTCTCTTTTGTGAGCAAACAGTACATAAGGCCAATAAAAACTGAGGGGCAGGACCTATAGCCCTCAATGGATTTCAAGAAAAAGATTTTACAGTAAACAGTTTTCCATATATGGTTACTATTTATCATCAGAAAATTGTCTAGTATTCTCTTCTACATTGAAACATGTGAGTTTAACCTCAAACCTCTTTCTAATTTGGTAGGGCATGAGACAGGGGTGCCCTTTTTCTCCTATATTATTTCTTTTGGTGCTTGAACTGCAACTATTTGAGAAAACCCAGATAATAGCTGAAGAACACCATAAATTGATGCTTTTTGTCTCTTCTTTCCACATCACTCTCCAAAACCTTTTTGCATCCTCTCTGAAATCGGGCTTGTATCAAATATACAAGTTTACAAAACTAAATCTAAAGCACTGAATATTACCTTTGCTCTTGACGATCTCCTAGTGATTCAGGAAAACTATTTGCTTTGCCTGGCCCACTTCCTCATCCTACCTTGGTATTACAAGTTAACACCATCCTTTGAGTCTCTTCATAGGGCTAATTACTCCCCTTGTTAAAGGATCTGTCTGCTTTCTTTGCATCTTGGAAGCTCCTATCTATCTTTTTGTTTGGCAGGATACATGCCTTAAAAATTACCTATTTGCCCAAACTTTTATATTATTTTAGAGTACTGCCAGTCACTGCCAGTCACTGTACCCAGTCACATCCTGGGATTTGAGCAAAGATGTTGCATTTCATTTTACATTGCAATAGGTCTAGATTGTCAGCATCGGTACTGTACTGTCAGAGACTAGCATATGGCCTAGTGGTGCCCCACCTTAAAAACTATTTCTCAGCAGCTCAAATTGCTTCTCTTGCATCTTTGCATGCCTATTTGAACCCACTTCACCATAGCAGAATGCCTTACCCATACATCACCTAATATGGATTCCTCCTTCCCAGAAGCCTAAGATTTCTGATCTCACCCTGCAACGGTCTCTCCGGAAATGGGACTCGGTGAAATATTCATGTAACCTAATCTCCTCCCATCTGCCTCTGCTGGAAATTCTTGATACCTCTCTATTCATCCCTGTCCACCAAAATCCTTTATCCTTCCGGTGGTGGTGTGCAAAGGAAGTTAGGTGTATATATATATATATATATATGATTTGTTAACTATTGATGGCATTAAATCCCTTCATTATTTGCAGGAGCACTGGAACTTGCCTGCTGGGAAAGCCTTTTGCTATGTTCAAATAAAGCATTATATCTCAAGCTTAATTGCACACTGTACTGATGGCCCCACACACCAGACACCATTTGAAAATTGTCACTGGAAGGATCCCATAGGGATACCATAGGAGTTTGTTTTCTGCTCTATACGTATCACTCACAGACTCCATGGGTCCCAATAAACTCCCCTATATGGACAAGTGGTGAAAAGACATGGGAAAAACTCTTGACTAAGCTGATGTATTAAATTTGGATGGCTACCTCCAAATGCTCATTTAATATTTTAGCTTAAGAAAATATTCATAAACTAAAAGTTTTGTGTTGGTATATGACCCCTGACCATATATCCAAATTAAGTACTAACGTCTCCCCAGCCTGCTTTTGTGGTTGTAGGGAGCGCGGTACCTTATACCACATATGGTGGTTCTTCCCCAAAGCCTCTCACTTTTCGCTCTGGTCAGTTAATCTTAGTCATAACCCATTGGAAGCCCTATTGTATAAACCTGTCTCGGACCTTAATAGGCATGAGAGAATGCTGGTGGGGTTTGTATTCCTGGTGGCTCAGAAAATGTTAGCAAAATCCCGGAGACAGCTTGGATTTACATATAGACTTATGGGGACCATGATATATGAGAAACTCACCTTCATATTTACTGATATCCATGCTAAATTTCTAAAGGTCTGGAACCCGTGGTTGAAGAATGATGGTCACTTAAAGTACTAACATATCTTCTGGAGATGTGGCTTCATTTGCCTCTGTATTTCTATCCTGGAAAAGTCATTGGGTACTCTTCACACTGCCATTTTTGTCTGATATATTTGTATACCCATGTCTCATGCTAATGTTTGTTGTATAATATTTCAAAACTCAATAAATCGTTTGTGAAATAAAAATAAAACATTTTGAAAAAAAAACTTTCCTTTACTGTCTAGTAAAAAACATGCCAGGACAGTACGGACAGACAACTCCTTTTCTGGAAAGTGGATACCCCAATGTGATATAAATTTTTTTGGGGAAATGAAGAAACATGCTGATTGTGGGAACCAGATTCAAAGCATTAAGGGCTTATTATTTGCAAATAACTTCTTTTTAAGGAGTTTTCTTGCCCATTTTTGGTAAAATAAGCCCCAAAAATAAACCAGGGTTAATCTGACAGGGTTTTTGTAGCATTCCTCAGAAAACCAAATACTTCACACCAACCTCCTGGTTTGCTCACATAGCACAATTGTTCTGGCCCACAAGCTTGGGCTCCTTGTCTGCCTCTCCTGCAGACAATTCTCAAAGCACTCTCACATGCATACATGCACTTCTGGCTGCTCCCCTGCTGTCACACTACTCTTTGGGAAGTGAGGAGCCCTGAACCATAGTCACATCTTTAAGAAATAAATCTGCGCAGTGTGCTGGTTTTCTACAAAAACTGGTCCCAGGATTAGAGACTTCATCCTTTCCAAGTCTCTACAAAGCCTCTGGATTTCAAGACCCAAACCAGCCTCTGAGAAAACTAACAATCCAGTCTCCTCTGTATGATACAAGCAGGCTGGAGCCCCTCAACCTCCCTGGATGAGAACCATGGGTGACACAATCCCCTTTCCACACTGTAACATGATATTGAGGTGGTTAAAAATAAATTAAGGTGTGCTTTGTCTTTAACAGTTTTCTACTAAAGCCAAGTGCAAGTCTTCCATTCACTAAGCTAAGTGAAAATTCCCCTGCAATGTGAACAGCCTATTTGCCTTTTGTAAATTAACTCCTGTAAAAGTCACAGTTTCAATAAATGTGCAGTAGAAAGAATGGCTGCTAATTAAAGACTCCTTAAATTGCATCCATAGCATTACTGGGCAAGAATAGTAGAGAAACTGATATAGGTTGATGAAAAATGGTCTGATATTTTATCTGTGGTGCCTAGAATCTCTATTGCCCCCCCCCCCCCCACCCCCACCCCACACACATGAGTCCACTCAGTTTTTCATTCTGCACCGCACCTCTTGCACCTCACAAAACCTACACCAGTCCTCAATGCTGGAGAAACTTCGGTCAGACTGGTACTCTATTACATATATTATGGACATGTAAAAATATTAGAAGCTATTGGTATAAAGTCTTCCACATATCGGAAATTACTGGGATATTAAAACAACCAGATCCATCCTACCCTAGCCATTTTGAATATAAATATAGATACATATCCAATCCATTATCGACTTTAAGTGACACATTCTTCTAGCATCAAGACTTACCATTACTAGACACTGGAAAAAAGACAGCCCCTTCTCTAAAAGAAGTCATTGAGCTAATCCAGACCCACTTCATCTATGAGAAATCTTTAGCTTACCTAAATGATAGAATCACTAAATTTGACAAAGCTTGGAAACTCTGGTCCGACTGGTTCAGAACTGTAACCTAAGATATTATTGTGTTCAACCTTTTTTTGATACTCTAAAATTATTATTTCGTGGAATTAGTAGGACTGTTAGGAATTATTCAATATTCCCTTTTTTCTCTTTGTTAAACTTTACCGCAACACCTATAATGTGATATGGTGTAGCTTTTCACTGTCCTATTTTTGTTTTTTTTTTTTTTTTTTGTTGTAACTATATTTGTTAAACCAAATAAAAATTTATTATGGGAAAAAAAAAAACCTACACCAGTGGGGACATAGATATACCTCATTATCCACTAGATGTGGAGTAGAGATGGGCACCCTACTACATGTGATGTGGAAAGGTCCTAAAATATTTAAGTAATGGAAAGACATACCTGTTAACATGAATATATGTAAAAGCAAGTACAGCGCAATCTGTACCACTGTGCATAAAATAATTATAAATTCATAATAGTGCTTACATACAGTGTGACCACATATTTTAATAAAACATCTTTTAACTTAATAGTCTTTCAATTGTGAAAAAAATATATAAAATCAAGTCCAAAATCACCTCCTTGTAATCAGCGTATTATTGATTGCTTCCATTTATATCTTGCCATCCATGTGAGTCCCACCACCATTCACTCGATGTGCTCACCTGGATCTGCTGACCTATAGATTAAATAGGTCATCATGGGCTTTTCCCTATTCAAGGGGCTAATTTGATGTTATCTCCAAATGTATCATCCACCTCAAATTTTCTCTTTAGTTGGTTTTCAGCACAACACCAAGAGTCAGCATCTAAAAACAGCTCCCCAGCTCAAGGATACAAAGGAAAGACCATCATAGTGCTTCACCTTTAAAAATTACTTTACTAGAAAAAAGCCATTAAGAAAACCACTTGCAAAATAAGTGAACTGTTATTCAAGTGCACTGTAACAACATGATTTT